ATGATATTTTGTAGTTTTGAAATTTTTTGCTATTTTACATTGAGAAATGTTATTCTTGAATTGTTGCACAATTTGCCTATGCAGTCTTTCACAGAGTGGTGAACTTTTCTACATCTTTACTTTTGAAATACTCTCTAGGATGCTCTTTTTATACACAACCATGTTACTGACCTGTCAATTAACCTAATAAGAGGTTTTTCACTAATGTTTTTTGCATTACACAACTTGCTGCTGTCCCAACTTTTTTGAAATGTGTTGCTGGCAGCAAATTCAAAATGGACATATATTTTTCAAAAAATCAATAAAATTTCTCAACTACAACATTTGTAACAATTGTTGTCTTTGCACTATTTTCAAATAAATATAGGGTTTTATTATTCTTTTACACCATTGCATTTTGTTTGTATGTACATTTTGCACAGCACCCCAACTTTTTTGGAAATATGGTTGCGTTAACGTGGACAAAAGTACATGACAAAACTCTGCAGTTACTGGTTTTTAGCTATGCAACATACTTTGGTCCATGTTTCTAGATGTCATCTTATTATTTGTCATCTGTGTCATCAATATGATTTCATTACTTGTTGTAGCAGGAATATGCAGGAATATTCATATATTGACTTTTTAACCTCATAATTCCAAGAATCCAATAACATTCAGGGGAAAAATTTACACAGGACACAGAACGACATGGATGAAATGGAGAATGTTTTTTCATCTACAGAGAAGCCACAATTGCCATGTAATCACTTAGTAATGACTATATTTATCTCTCAAAAGTGGTTGAAATTATCTACATTATTAGTCACTTTGCATAGTCAGTGAGTAGTCATTTTATTCCCATTAGTCATTCATGAGCATTTTTTCTGGGGCTGCTTTATGACCCGTCAAATTATAATTCCTTAAATTTTTTGATGCCTGCTGAACTGGATATTGCACAATACTAGTCGGGGGGCATGGTGACACAATTATTTTAGGCTGGAATATAAATGAAGGAAAAAGGAAGCAAAAACAGTGTCTGTGTTATACTGCAGTGTAGTGTCCATCCTTAGGTAATCATTCTTTCATTCTTATGTATTTCAGTGAGTGGCCTGTGATTGCACTGACTTCTTAAGCCTTTGCCAGTCAACAACTGAAGAGGGAGCCATAACATTCAGCCGGTTTGCTGGAGCAGTGTGGCTGTTTTCTCTCTATGATTGCTTCTGTGCGTTCTCTGTGTGAACACTAGCAATGTTCCTAGTGTCATACTCTTTGACCTGCTAAATTACCATCAACTACTATCAGTTTTCCCATCTATTTGCTTTGAAATCACTGGCATGCGTTTCCATAGCAGTAAGGCTCAACAAACCCAGACTGCGCTGAACAAAAGGCCTGAAGATCATGAGTGTGAAATGGTTTTGTAGTGAGGTGAGCCACGATGGATGCTCTCGAAGGTCCCAATTTAATGGGGTAAGATGACATATGAAACCTCACTTTTCCACTTGATGGATATGGACACTGTTTGGAGCCTCTTTCCAAGACTTGGTGAGACACATTTTCTTTTCTGTAACTCCACAAAGTGGCTACTTGGTCAAAGAACTGCAGTCTGTAACACTGTACTCGAACGCGGCTACATAACATTGACATACCTATTGCATTAACATGTTATGTCAGATGTCTTATTCTGGCATGAGTTGTTGTGACAGATTATGTCCAGTAATAAAACAGTGTCATGTTATCATTACTGGGAATTGTCAGGACATTTTGTTTGATGTCATGATGGCTCACTAGAGTATGCTTAGCCAAATTAGCATGTGACTAAAGCTGCCATATATCAAACATTCTGGCATCAATTATCAATAAAGGTAATATGACACTAATATATATCACTGAACATAGTCTGTCATGACATCATATGACTTTTGCCATGATGTGTTCACGGTATTGTTGTGTAGCAGGTTTCAAGTAAAATGTTATCCATATGTCTTTGTAAAGTAGAACTGTAGGGGCAGATTTAGTGATTCTGGGGCTCTTGGCGAAAGACAGGAAGGGGGTCTCCTGGATGCATATTTTTAAAGCAGTTAACAAGTGAAATCATCTGATATTGAAATGACCGATACATCCAATATGTAGTAAAAGTTTTTTATTTACATCAAAGGAATGAATTCAGGCTGTTTTTGCAGCTTAGTTTCCATAAAGTGACACTATGGACTGTATGGACTGGGTATGTTTTGAAATTTTAACAATGCTTACAAAACTCACTTAATCTCTTTTATTTTTAAAAAGCAAAGGGAAACTAGTTTTTATATAATTTAGGCCAGTAACTGATTTCTACACATTTTTTATTTGTTTGAAATAATTTTATTAAGTAATAATAATAATGATGATAAAAATAATAATAACAATAACAACTAATTTTAAACTGTATGTCGGCACTGTCCAAAGAAAACCATGTATCTCCATTTTTCACTCACATCTTCTAGGCCACTTATCTTTCTGGGTCACGGTGGGAGCTGGAGCCTATCCCAGCAGTCATTGGGTGGAAGGTAGAATACATCCTAGACAGGTCGCCAGTCCATCACAGGGCAGACATATACATTCACACACACACAGGCAATTTTAGCATGTCTAATTAGCCTGACTGCATGTCTTTGGACTGTGGGAGGAAAAACACACAGACATGGGGAGAACATACAAACTTCACACAGAAGGGACCCTGGTCACCTGGCTGGGAATCAAACCCAGGCCCTTCTTGCTGTGAGACGACAGCACTACACACTGCGCTGTGGTGCTTCCCATCTCCATTTTTGCCGATTTTTATTTTTCTACATCATTTCAACACACGTTGAAAATTTCATGATGAATGGACCGAAAGAAATTCTCTAAAATCACTTGGAATAAAATCTCTTTACATAAATTTACTTTGAAAGGTAAGATTGTTTTTACCTTCTTCTGTGAAGTTACTATTCTTTGGACAGTGATATATATTTCAGAATAGGTTATTTAACATCAACTAATACACTATATCTAATTAGCATTTATGGTAGCCTTGGATCATGGATCATGCCTATCTTTGCCTAGTGCGAAGACCACCTCTGTCTATCTTTATTGCTGTTAACTCAGACCGGGATTGACCTCAGTAGGTGAATGTTATTTTGCACTTTTCCCCAACTGTTGAGTTCTCTCTACTTTGTGAAAGTAGTCTGTTGTGAGTGTGATATTTTCTGTGCGTTGTGTGCACAGAGCTCTAAAGCTGTAGCTAGGCACGAAGGATGTGCCTCAAAGCACGGTTCAAATTGGCTGCAATTCCATATAGAATTGCAGTCTGAATATTAAAAAGAATCATGGAATACCCTTTGGAAATGAAGGGGATTTTGCATCACATAGTTCTCTGCACTATGGAATGCAGCCTAGATTGGAGAACTGCCAAATAATGGTCTTTTCACTATAACCTTACTGTTCCTTTGGTGAGAGGACAGTGAGATCCAATTAGCTCATAACAAGATAGACAAGATAATGAACACCCAGGGTGTTCGAATGAGACCAGAGGCGTTTCTGACAAAAATTTATCAAAGAATACCTAAATAGGCCATTCTTTGTAAACCACCACAAGCCTTGTTTATTTTGAAGCTATAATGCCCTAATAAGGAACAAGAGCAGTTTAATTTGTACCAGTTTGTTGTTGCAAAGCTCCTAGGTATTGCTTGGCTATGTTTTCTGCCAAATATCTTTAGGGGTGCAAAAATCATTTTTCTGCTCCGTTTCTCACACTAATCCATGGCTTTCAGTCACCATGAAAAGTCTGTAACATTTTAACTGTAATTGATGTGGAATTAGAACTTTCATTAAAGCACATCATCCTTAGGAGTTTTTAACCAGTGGAAGGTTAGGAGAATAGCCTTGAAACGCTTGACTAAATCTCTCATTTGTGTCATGCCAAGATTACGTGCATGAAATCAGCTAACTGGGTAATTGAAAAGAGATAAATAAATTTGTTGTAGTGGTGCTTTCACAGTATGGAAAAGCTGTGCATTGGCTTTGTAATGAGTTTAATCCCTTTACATGTCATCAACAGGAATATATATTGCTCATGCAATTTCATTCTAAATGAGATCACATCTTGATATTCAGATGTTCATTTAATAGCATCTCTGTGGTCAAGGAGCTCCATGTACCTCAAAGAATACTTAGTTCCTGTGAAAGATGCACTCCTGAGTTCAGTCTGTATCCAATTTATTAACAGCACAGCTCAGCTTAATGTGCCAAAATTCTGGCAATTCGCCTCTTAGTTTAGGAAGATTTTCACTCATAACTCCATCGAGGCCCGATTCGCTCCCTATGCTCTGCAATGATAAATGTCATTAGCGCTGATTATAGCCCAATCAAACCCTATTCTCCAGAGTCACCGAGGTGCTAAATTTTCTAATCTGAAATTATTAGCATGAATGCAATGTGATAATTGCGGCACTGGAGATCAACAAAAAACTTCAGCTGGGAGAAATTCCTGAGAGACAGACATCATTTCCTGTTCTTTTTTACCCCATGATTTCTGTAGCAACATTTGAAAGGGCTCTTAAAGGACTGCTATTGGTATAGAATCACAGCATTTGCAGAATTATACTACATCGCTTGTGTGTGGTTACATTGGTGCCTGAGGTTTTCTTATGTTTTGCCCATCTTGATGAAGCAATCTTGTTCCACAATGATTTCCCCAAGGCTGAAGTCATTCTCCTTCCGTGAGTCCTGGCAACAATACAACATCACCGCTTTTTACCGCCTCGGGTGCCCATGGAGGCTTTGTCACAGGAAAGACATTGTGAGATCACGGACAATGAGTGGACTTCACTATGACACAAAGTTGTTTTTCTCCACATTTTTATCTACAGCCATACACATACAAATCAAAGCAGCTTGTGAAGTCTTCTTGCTGCAGCTGTGAGACTGAATTGCAGTGTGTTACACCAGATTGACTTGGTTCCTTTGTCTAGTCATGAATAGGCATAAAAATAAAAAGTTCACAATGAAGAACAATAAATTTAATTAAGCAGGACTTTGCACTGTGTAAACAGTGCAGATTAGCAGCTTTTTTAGTAAAGGTATACATTCTAATTCCACAGCTGATATTCTCTACTTCAAAAAGTGATTCACCAACACTGACTTGTACATCTATAGATTTTATATACAGTTAAAAAAAGATGTGCAGTGACATTGCAATGGCTGTACTCTGGCTTTTAGGGTGTTTTACCATGGATTAATGGATGTTCTATTTCTTTGCTTCCTTTGATTACAAATGATCTCTGATTTAGGCACACCTGTGTCAGTGGTGACACTACAAGAGGACAAGCATAATTTACAAGTCACAGATTTAGATTTCATGTCCACTGCAGACTAACACCGTCCACCTCTTAAGTATTTAAGCATGTAATGGGAGCAAAGTAATTATAGGCAACACTCTTAGCTATTTGTCATGCTTATCTTAGAGCTTCACCCCAAGCCAACTTCCATGTTCCATGTAGATTTTATGCGATGTGACAACACGAATGCATTGGCTGTACATGAGTTTGCTGTCTACAGGCCAGTTAGGTCAGGGGTACTCCTGAAACCCGATTTTTCCGACAAGCTTTGAAGGGACAGCATCTGGCTGGAGTCCCCCACGCTGGTGTGAGAGCACCAGTCTGAGAGCGTCTCCTCAGACACCTGAGTCCTGGGCCCGTGCCTCTGGCTTGACGGCTGCCTCTTGAAAGAAAGCAGTCTTGGCAGCTTGTTGGAGCTGGATGTCCTGAGGAGAGAGAGCACTCGCTGGTGGTACTTGGACTTGAGCACCTTGGCAGAGCGATGCAAGTCCCCTAAAAAGCAGTAGCAGATGGGGTTGAGGCTAGAGTTGGTGAGGCCCAGCCACTGGGCAAACGGCCGGGTCTGCAGGATCCAGTGCGGAGGGTGCATCTCGCGGTCGATCAAAATGTCGGCCACATACAAGGGCAGCCAGGAGATGGCGAACAGCAGGACCAGGGTGACCACCACCTTGGCAATCTTCTTGCGCGTCTTCAGGCACGAGGCATACACCACCTGGCTGCGTGGGTCAAAGCTATCAAAACGCTGTGATGCCCTCCAAAGCTTACGGCCTGTGAGGAAGCTGATGGTCAGGTTAAAGGCCACAGGGATGCAGTAGAGCGTAATGAAGAGGAGGACGTTATAAACCTGCTTGAGCCTCGCTTGCGGCCAAAGCTCTCTGCAGATGTGGACTGTGATGTCAATCAAGTGGATCTCATCCAGCTTGACCATGAAGAGGAGAGGGGTGCAGATGCCCGAGCTGAGGACCCAAACCACACCAATGGTTATATAGATTTTCCTCTGAGTGAAGTAAGAGCGGGCGTTCAGTGGGCTGTGGACGCTGTAGTACCTGTTGATGCTGATGACCGTCAGACTGAGGACGCTGGCTGCAACAGACACAGCCTGGATGAAGGGAACTGCCCTGCACAGCAGGTCTCCATACACCCAAGCCGTGTAGATGGTGTGCCCCAGGGTGATGGGCATGCAGATGCAAACTACCATCAGGTCACAGACAGCCAGGTTAATCAGTAAGCTACGGGTGGCACTGACACTCTGGACCCTCCTGCTCCTCTGACCAGTGAGCATCCGGATTGCCATGATGTTCCCAACGAATCCCACCACGAATGACATTGAGTACATCACCGTGAGCGCAATGGTGGTCGGCTCCCGGATCGTCAACAGCAGCAGCCTCTCCAGTTCACCATTCTGGTGAAGGAAGTCACTGCCCATGTCCTTGACCACACCAAACGAGCCGTTTGTAGACAGCAGTGAGTTGGAGACTTGAAATTCTGAGAAATTCATCCTGAAGTTTTAAAAGCTAAAAGCTGTTTTGGTGATGGACTGAAGCAAAATCTCTGTTCTGCACATCCCCAAGTAGCTCAAGCTCATGACAGGCGGAGACAATACAGCTGATACTTTAGATTTTCAGACATCAGAATTTCCATCGTGTCAGTCCATGCAGCTGACGCATTCAATCATTTCAGCTTCTGTCAGTCAAAAAAGTGGAGGGGATAGAATATTTGCATAATTTAGCCAGCTGTCTTACAAGAAACCAACATATTACATGACAGTTTTAAAACCTGCGTACTGAAAATGTCCATAATTGCATCAGAGACTGACTGTGATGCGGACAGGTTTGTAGTGTTTACTTCACAAGGCTGCATTTCACTCTATGTGTTTTCTCAGCAAACACTTGTTTGCAGTGCAGTCTTGATCACTCACTTCAAAACAACAGGACGAAAAGCATTACATACAGTCCTTTTTCTATCAACGTATACATATTAAGCTATATTCTCTCAAAAAGCCACTTTGGTGATGTGTGCTTTTCACCCCAGTGGACATGTACTCTGAGCCACTGTCACATTTAAAGAAAAAATTATACATTAAAATAATATATTTAAAATTTTGGATGAAATGGTCAGGAAAGTAAATACATACCCTGATTATTGTGCAGAAGAGCTCCAGTAAGATGTTTATGGTCTGCCACGTTTCCTTCCATGTAGCCTCCTGAGAGTGGACTTGGCCATGTAGTCCTGGGTTCCTCCTCTACCTCCTCCTCCCACAGAATGGCAGAATGCTGTGAATTATGCAGCCCCTCTCTCTCTCTCTCTCTCTCTCTCTCTGGCTGTGCGCCTTACGCCAAACGTGCTGCTGTCGCTCTCTGAGCAGCGATCCCACTCACACTCTTAACTGCGTAAGGAAGCTGAGCTGATATATATTTATTTATTTATCCATTCAATTATCTTAATGGCAAACAATATGCTATAAATTCAGTGCAGGTGGAAAATTTTGTTGGAAGTGTGTTGCTTTTGAAGTCATAATAAATATCTGCTTTTAATAATAATAATAATAATAATAATAATAACAATAATGAAAATAAATGATTAAATGACTGTATATACAGTACTGTGCAAAGGTCAGAGACCACCCTTCCTTTAATGAATGTCCAGTCAAAACAGCCACAAGTACAAGATGTTATACAAGATAATCCACTTGCATTAGGAAAAGCAAAGTTAAAGAAAAATAAACAAGAGTTTCCAAAACTGAAGTGTAAATATTATTAAACTGTTATCACTAAATTACTATATAGAAAACAAAACAGTCCTTAAAGCTTTTATCTTTGAGAGAGAGGAGAAAATCAAGCTCCACTCTTACTTCAGATCTAAAAAAAATCCACAGATGTTTCTGTCCATCCTTACCTACTCAACTCAACATTACGAGCGTGGAAGGACATGTAGCTGTTCGGAAGCTGTTACTGAGAAAAGGAAACAGACAAAAAAGAAGAACATTTACAAAGGCTGCTGGTGTTCTCAGAACAATGGACTGACCACCCCAGAGTCCAGACCTCAACATCACAGAATGTGTTTGGGACTACTTGGGTTGTGAGAATCAGAAAATGCAACCAACTTCTGAGACTGAACTTTGGAGATGTAGAAAAATATCCCTGCAGATTTCTTTTAAAAACTGAAGCACAACTCCCAAAAAGAACGGAAGCTGAAATAAAGGTAAAGTGTGGACACATTTAATACTGAAAAATCTATATTATATTTAGTTGTTGAGGTTTTTGTGAGATTTTATGTTAAATATACACTATATTGACAAAAATATTGGGACACCTACATATTATACCTACAGGAGCTTTTATGACATCCCATTCTACATCTATATTATCCCATTATACATCTTTTTATCAAGTTGGTCCCCCCTTTATAGCTATGACAGCTTCCACTCATCTTTCTACAAGATTTTGGAGTGTCTGTGGGAATTTTAGCCCATTCATCCAGAAAAGCATTATTGAGGTCAGACACTGATATTGGATGAGAGGGCCTGGCTTGTGATCTCCATTCTAGTTCATCTCAAAGGTGTTTAATGGGGTTGAGGTCAGGGCTCTGTGCGGGCCAGTCAGATTATTCTACAGCAAACTCACCCAGCCATGCCTTTACGGACCTTGCTTTGTGCACTCTGCACAGTCATGCCAGAACAGAAAAGGGCCTTCCCAAAACTGTTCCCACCAAGTTGGAAGCATACAATTGTCCAAAATGTCTTGGTTTGCTGAAGCATTAAGATTTCCCTTCTCTAGAATTAAGGAGCCTAGACCAACCCCTGAAAAACAACCCCATATCATTATCTCTCCTCCACCAAATTTTACAGTTGGCACAATGCAGTCAGGTAGGTAACGTTCTCCTGGCAGGTTTGGATCTCTGCAGTTATTGAGTCCGCAGACCATTGGCAACTTTTACGTACTATTCATCTCAGCACTCGACGACCCTGCTCTGTAACTTTGGATGGTCTGCCACTTCGTGGCTGAGTTGCTGTGGTTCCTAAATGCTTCCGCTTATTAATAAACCCACTCACAGTTCGTGGAATATCTAGGAGGGCCTTTCACGAACTGACTTGTTGCAACAGTGTCATCCTATTACAGTACCACACTCAAACTCAGTGAGCTCTTTAGAATGACCCTTTCTTTCACAAATGTTTGTAAAGGCAGACTGCATGGCTACGTGCTTGATTTTAAACACCTGAGGCAATGAGACTAAATGAAACACCTAAATTCAATGATTGAGAGGTGTGTCCCAATACTTTTGTCCATATAGTGTATGTTCTCTGATGTTATTTTCCTGATGCTGAGAATACTTCACGGCCGTTTTCAGTGGAAATTACATAAACATAAGTTTGGTATCTAACTTTTGCACAGTACAGTATATCAGACTCTAACAGCTTTAATGTCTTTTAACTTTTAATTATGATGTTATTCTTTATTTTAGTCTCTTGGACTAGTATAATGCTTTGAGGTTAAACAGGTGTGGACTGAACGAGTTCTGATTGAAAGCCCTGGGTGAAAGTCCCTCATTCATCAGTTTTGTGTTTGCTCCATCTGTTCATGGGCTCCGAGGTATTGGGCTGCTTGGCTGTTATAATTTTAACGTCATATGGACATATTCACAAATATTAGACCTTTTACACTGTGTCAGAATGCACACAGACCCAGTATAAAAATGTCATGCTCTCACACAGGTGCTTAATGTTTATGTACGTCTGTGAAGGTGCTATTATTAGCATTTATAATTATGCTTTTTCCCTGGTTCCTCCGTCTTGGTGCTTAGCGAGAGTGTTAATCCCCTAATGTTCTTGTGAAAATGTTTTCCCAGCAGTCATTTAGCACCAGCTCTAACGTGTTAATTGCACTGGACAGATCAGGAAAAGTCTGAGGCAATTATTGTTCTCAGAGTCAATCAGAATACTCCCAACAGACTGGTGTCTTGGAAATTTCTTCAAACTTTTCGCATTTATTCAGGTTGCTTTGTTTGAATTCGGCAATCAGATAAACCAAGCCAACATGCAGAGGAGATAATCATCGTTGTTTATTGCTAAAATTATCAACAGAAAATGCAAGACAGACAATAATCCATTGTAAACAAACAAAGGCTTACTTCAGTTTACTCTTCCCAGAAGACTTTGCTGGGGGACTCATTTTAAAGCTCCCTTGCCTCCCAGCATTAGAAAAAATGTTTCTTGGAGATCTCCAAAGAGGAAATGTTGACGTCGTTCACCACCTGGACTTTAGTGATGGTCTTCAGATCTTCCACGCGGTGCTTATACTGCATGATCTTTGTGTCGTCAATGTAAACATGGAAGTTGTCATTGTCGGAGTAAATTTCAATCTGTTGAGATGGAGAGAAAAGGGAAAACACTATTTACAATGCCTGACTATGTATAACTAAGTCACGGCATGGCAACTGTGACAGTTTTGGCCCACCTGGAAAGGCTCATCGGTGCCAAAGGGGAAGTTGGTGCACCTCTCTTCCTTCCCCCAGTGATTTGCCATGAAGGAGTTACAGACGATGTCTGACTCGGAGAAGCGGGGGTTGAAATGGAAGGCTACTTTGTCGTCCCGGTCGCAGAGGAAATTGATCTCAAACCTCGGTGAGGCAGAAAGGCACATTAGTGATGCTGCAGCAATCAATTAGGAGTCAGAGGCAATAGGGTCTGGAGCAATCTGGCTGAAGAAACTCAGTTAGTCCAAATATACCAGAAAAATGGCCCACCAGCTGCATTTGGCTTCACTCTTTTTACCATTTTTTTCCTGCTCACTGAGAATCCAGCATGGAAAAGATTTTAGTCAATAATCTCTCATCTCCCTTGACTATCTTGGCTGGTTTCTGTGCTGTCTATGAAGATCTATAATGAATGAACCTCGTCGGGATCGCGCCCAAGGGAAAGACATTCTTCCTATGCTAAATGAATTGTCACATGCATGCTTGTCATATTAGTGTCCACCGCTCTCCTTTATAGTCGCGCTTGTTCTTGTAATTGTCTGCATTGAGGCCTTTTCTTACATCTGCCCTGATAAATCGGGTCTCACTCACTGGACAGGATGAATTATTAACTCCTCAGAGTTATTAACTACCACTTTTTCTGAGCTGATTATGTTTTGGAAAGGGAAACGGAACTTTTGGGAAAAAAAAGAAGCTTTAGTGGGAATTGGGAACTGTCTTTTTGAAATATTGCTGTGGTTCAATCGTAAATTGGCTTCATTAGATTTATAAACTGGACCTGCACCATTGTGTATTCTGTTTCTAGCTTTGAGGTCAGAATTCATTCCACTTATATTCCCCCCTGGCACTGATGATTTTCCTATTCTGGAATAAAAATGTTGAAGGGTGGGGATGTGCACAGCTAGTATATGGAAACAACTCTCATACAAATGGATGACCTTGAAGGTTTTGGCTAAAATGAAATTGTAAATCGTACGCGCTGCTGTGATGTGTTGCGTATAGTCACTTCCATCTAGAGTGATCCTCACAGGTCAGAGAAAATACATTTAGCTGGAATCATGGCCCTGGAAAATATACAGCTCTCAATTCAAGTGTGAATCTTCTAAATCATATTCTACCGCATTTGCATTCAGAGATTTCTTCACAGAACTCTGGTCAGGGCTGGAGATGTTTATGGATTTCTCCATGGTCAGGACCTCTGCCCCACACTTACTTGTTGGCCTCTGAGGGGGTCTCTCCTTTCAGGATGACACTCCATCCTGGACACAGTCCATCTGGACAGGAAGCCTCAAACTGCAAGAGTCAAATGAACATTTCAGATATGTGTTCCACACAGGAGATCACAGCAGTGAGCATAGGCAGGTGTTATTATGATTGTTCTGAATATTTTATACTAAAATATGAAAATGAAATGGATTCTTTCATTATCTTGTAATACAATTAATGTAATGTAATGTAATATCATTAGTCCTAGGCAGAGGACTATGATTAGATGAATACCAATTTCATTAAAACTACATGCAGTTGGAGGAGAAGACACATCCTTTCATTCGGAACATTCATCAAACCTATTCCATTAGCACATTTGTAGTGAAAGGGACAGAAGGGAGGATTCATCATTTGATATGTTCTACATCGACTATATATACACATCAATAGAAGTGCAATGATTTTGAATCTACAAAGCCTCAAAGATTCAAAGGTGACCAAACTGATTCATGTTTGCCCACAAAAAAAAAATGTTATTCATAGCAAATCCTTTATTCTGGAAATTTTTCTTTGAAATCTATTGCCCTTTTATATCCAAGTATATGCTGTCTAATGCTTTCTTTTATGATAGAGGCCTAGCAGACAAGGAGCATCACTATTAAAGCACATCTGTCAGACATTAACACAGTAGACAAATTGAGACACATTTTCATGGAGGTTCTCGCAACATCACTAATCAGTCTAGTGATCAGAGATACAGATCAGAAATGGGATGTGATGAGAGAAATGCACAATGTTCTATGTACTGACACTGGAATATAGGACAGGTTTGTACACACCAGATGAAGACTGTTTAGATCAAGCCTGTCCAAATTTTGCCCATGAGGATGTTTGATTTGGCCCACCGGAGAGACACTCTAACCCAACTATTCCCCCCAAAAACAAACAAAACATGTATCCCCAAAACAGTAAACATTACAGGAGAGGGCAAAAAACATTCCTAATGTTCAAATAAATGTGAAGAGATTTAATTCCAAGTGAATTTGGAGCATTTCTATTGGTCCATTCATCATGAAATTTAACACAATGTAAAAGACTGCTGCTGAGTACAAATTGCTTAAAAACAAAGAAAGAAAGAAACAAACAAATAAATAAATAAAAAAGGAGATACTTTAAAAAATTGTACAGTGATAATGTTGGTATTCATTATATCATTTTTAATTTCTTTTTTTTAAATTGTGTTTTTGAAGTATTTTAGTAGCAACATGTAATATTTCAAAATATAGTAACCATTTTTATTTGTATATTATTTTTTTGTTTTGTTTTGTTTTTTTTGGCCCTTGGCCCGCTACAAACATTGCACTTTGCAAAAACAAATGTTGTCACCCCTGTTTTAGAAGAAGCCAAGAACCTGCACACTTGCACCACTGCAAGAACTGAAGTTTCCAATTTCAGGTTCTTCCAGGAACCAGAACTAAGACTTTCTGTAAGCGTTTCTTAAAGCTGCAAAAAAAGTGTTCTTTGGAGCCATTGAAGAACCTTTCAGTGGATGGTTCTGCAAAGAACCACTCTGTAAATGCAATGAAAATTAAGCTCCTAATAATGTAAAGCTTCTATAGTAATTTCTAGAACTGTAGGTCCAATCCAAGAACCAGTGAGGAACCTTTATTTTTTGCAGTGCGTCAGCCCACTGTAGATGCTAGCAAGCTGCTGGTTAACCTCTCTTATTGGGTTAGAACTCTGTGCTGTTCCTTTCAACATGAATGAACAAGCCAACTTAGCAGGAAAATGCCAATGATCATGAAGGAGGAAAGCTCTGTTTCAAAGCCCATTAAATAAACTGTGGCGCATTTGCAGTGATCTCAGGTATTGTGCAGGTAATGATGGGATGTCGCAGGAATCAGTGAGACTGCTTTGGCATTCTGATTGCTTTCAGCACGGCAGAATGGAGCGTAATTAAACTTTCATCAGTCCAGCGTTCAGACCGAAGGAGAGCGAGAGAGAGAGATAGCACACGAGAGAGAGGGAAGAGTGAGTGAGCGAGCCGCATTTAATGCAAAACCACCGCACTTCAGCTCCACTTGCAGTCACTTCATGGGTCCATCATGTGGAGAACCATCATTTCTGTAATGAATCTATTACTGAAACATGTCCCTACTGAGCTGGTTATCATCTGCTACTGCTGATCCAAAGGCTGGAACGATAGTGGCACACCAGCTTAGTGCTGTGCTATAAGCAGGCCCGCATAATGCCTCCCCCTGTGCAGGGCAGGTAATTGAACTATGAACGACCGCCATAGCTCACACGCAACAGAATGAGCCAATTTGCTTTGATTGCGTCTGCAGTGCAGCTACGTTTCCTTACCCGTAATGTCATCTCGTCTGCGGCGTCTCGGGGCACTGTGTATCGATCAGCTGTCCAGCGGGGGCTGTTTTGGAGCAGCGATGGTCATTTAAAGAGAGCGGGGCACCACGTGAGCTGCAGGCTTTGCTGGGGATCACGAGGCTGTGGGGGGCTATTGTCTGAGCTGAGTGGTCCAAACACTCCAAAACACTCACACACGCACTGAGTCGAGGCCCTTCAGAGTCAAGGCATGCAACTGTACTTCTGAGCTTCCTCGAGCTCCTCGAGCTTCAAGTGTAGGCCTGCTACCTATAAGCATTAGTCAGAATCATGCTCACATACAACTAGAGGTGATTCATTTCCTTGCATTCATTTTATTACACTCATTTTGTTATCATGCTAATTACATTCATCATCAGATATTGGATTAAGGTCCTGCGCATTCATCACGGCCCAGGAAATGGAGTGGCGGATAACAGCTAATGAGCCATCACAGTCCCTTAAGATGATGATGAAGAGTGATGAGGCTGCGATGGCCACTGCATCGCTGCACGCTGCTTGTTTTTTCAGGTAACACGTCTCATGTGTTATTACTTTGAGAAGATAATGCGATTTTGATCACCGCCTTTCGACTCGTAGAAGAGTGAAAGTGCTTACAGGCAGCAAAAGCCAGAATCAGCAGTGAGAGAGGGAGAGAGGGAGAGAGAGAGGCACAGTGAGGGCTCTCATGCTGTTTCGTAGCAGACCGTCAGTCTCTAATCCCGGGGATTAGACTGTACATGTGCGTGTCTGTTTTGCTTTTCACAGCTCATCAGATTTGCCTGCCCTTTGGAATTTCCTGCCTGTGTTTGAACACAATGGCTGGCCAGAGCTCATTAGAGCCGAGCGCGCATCTGCTTACGGCGGCAAAATGCCCCGCATTTCTCCACCAGCAGCGCAACAAACAAACCACTCGCAGATTAGAGTTAAAGATACCTGGTTGGCTATGAATAAAACAGCTCTTTACACCTGTGAAGATGCAGAACACTGAGGAGACTCAGCGAGCAGGAGGGAGTATATAAATCAGTGGAAAGCAGGAGTCCTTATCTGGGGACCACCCAGCCCCTTTACTGCGGGTACAGAATGTACACTCATTTAATTCTCTTCTCAGCAGTAGTGTGTGTGTGTGTCTGTGTGTGTGTCTGTGTGTGTGTGTGTGTGTGTGTGTGTGTGTGTGTGTTTTCTTTCTTCTTGTGTCCAGTCTCTTATCTGTGCTCCAGGCTTTGACATGACTGGCACTTCTACCTACACTGAAGAGAAACTAGGGCTTTCTCCTTTTCTCTCTCTCCATTTCTATGACTCTCTCTTTCTTTCCTTCTCTTTCAATTCTTCTCTTTCTATCTGCATTTTCTGATTCTTTTTCTATATTTCTCTTTTTCTTACTTTCTTTCTCTCTTTTCTTTCTTTCTTTCTTTCTTTCTTTTTTCCTTTCTTTCTTTCTTTCCCACTGTTCATGTTTCTCTCTCTTACTCTCTTTGGCTCTCACTCCATACATCTTTCTTCCTCTCTGTGCTTGTTTCTGTCTGATTCTCTCTCCCTCTCTCTCTGTTTAATTTTCTCTTTCCTTGTCTCTCTTTCTTCTCTTTTACTTTATTCCTCTCCTTCCCGATGCCAGATATCTCTCTTCTCTCTCTCCGTTCCTCTCTTTCATGCCATCCCTTTTCTTTGTGTCCCTCTCTGCCCATTTCTGACTCTCTCTCTCTACTTCTTTCTTTTCTTTTCTCTCTCCATTCCTCTTTTTCTCTCTCTCTCTGGTCATTTCTTTCTTTCTTTCTTTCTTTCTTACTGTCTGTTTAATTCTAATTGTTTAATTGACTTTTTTCTCTCTCTTTCTTCCCTCTCTCTCTCTCTCTCTCTCTCCCTCCCTCTCTCTCTCTCTCTCTCTCTCTCTCTCTCTCTCTCGTTCTGATGGAAGTCAGGGTCAGCTGCTATATTCTCATCACATCCTGCTTTTGTCATCGGCTCCATTCATGCCAGAGGCCTGCTCCTGTGAGATTTCTCCTCACTAGAGTTCAACTCTCCTCCGTGCCGGGCACCGCTGCCACTCAGCGGGAGAAACACACCTGCCACCGCATGCTAATATCAACAAACACAAACAAACACAAACAAAACAACTCCAGATTATTGCTGTCTCTCCGGCACTGCAGGAATGTCTGAAGATAAGGAGCAGCTCAGGGGAACATTTACACAAATTAAATTATGATCAACACTATCAAACATGATATAATATTCAGTTATTCATACATATGAATTACAAATGAAAACATGCTATATATTAACATATCTGATTGCCACAAGGCTAATCATCCTCATGTGGGCTTTGGCACGAGTCCAGAGCTGCCAGAACTCATAAACTCTCATGCAGCATATGGCCTGTGGACAAGTGTCTGCAGCGGAAAGCTCATCATAAGCACAGAAAGTTCCTCACAGTGACAGCATTCATCACTGCAGTCTGATACAAATGAATAGACATTCCCTCTAATGATGTTACATTATTGTTACTTCATTATCAGGTGTGTATTAAACTAGTGTTGTTGTCATGTAAAATTAAGTACATGGTGCAGATACAGTACGGTCAGAACACCCTTCTTTTATTTAATTTCCATTCTGAATGGCCATCACACCATTACAACACATTTAATGAATCTGGGGTCAACATTGCCACTTTCTTAGCTAAGCAGAAGTGTCATTTTGCAAATATGCTCAATGCTTTCAGTGATTTTTCACATACTATTACAGAATAATTGACACAGATCTCATGCAAAAACGTAAAAAATAATTGGAAAACATTTATTGACAGCTTATAGAAAATACAGTAACACTTTACTGTAGGGTACTGTTCATAGGGCTACATGACACCTACATAAGCTTGTCACGACAACTGACATAACCCTGCATAAATGTTTATAAAGGCTAATTCCACCAGGTGTCATTCGCTACAAAGGTTACATTTGCCAGTTTTGATCAAAGTTAGCTGAAGTAGCCTTTGTGACAGATGATGCCTATTGGAATAAGCATTTATAAATATTTATGTAGGGTTATGCCAGTTGTCATGACAAGCTTATGTAGGTGTCATGTAGCCTTATGAACAGTACCCTACAGTAGTGTTACTGAAAATACTCTCATAGTTATAAATACTTTCAGCACCCATGTGTACTACATAGTGCACAGTTGTTAACTCAGCAATCAGTCATCATCAGTTGCTGATGTAAACATTGATAAAAGAGCTTTTAGACAAGTGTTTATTAGATGAGAAATACATAATAGTTTAGACTGTCATTATTTAAAAGTTAAAAATGACAGATGTACCTAATGAGATGTGAAACATCCAATCGATTCTACCGAAGATACTATAACCATGTGGTTCAAGGCAACATGCTGCACTCTACCATCCGCAAAAAAAGATTTCACTGAGATATTCAGAAACAATTGTTTCTACTTTTTTCTTTTTCCCCACTCATGGAAAAAAGATGAGAAACAGTGGAAAGAAACATTGTCCCAAATGGTGACAAACAGGAGGCTGGATACTGTGTTTGTCAGTAGAGTGACTTTGTACAATAGATTTGTACAATGACAGCTACAGTGTGTTGATGGATTGGACCCTTCTTCTACCTGAACAAGCCATAATTGATGATCTGGTCTCTAACCGTTTTGTCTGACTTGCACTGTAATTTTCAGTTCATGAAGTATGTATGTCAGGTCTCTGGGACCCTCTGACACAGTCTAACCCTCCATTGATTTATTCAGGCATAGGGATTGGCATTATTATGGACAATGTTGCCCAATATTATACAAGAATATAGAAACAAAGAAAAGGAGAAAATCTATTTGTTTCTGAATATATAGGCTGAATTAGGATGGGCTTTTTTGGTAGAGGTTTTATACAGTACATTACACTAAAATATATCTCTAGTAAAACTACTCAGGAGACCAGAATAGGTTTCACATTGTGATATTCTTGCACTTTTCCACATTCTAAAACTGTTTACAGTGATGTATCAGCAGATAGTACAGCACTGATACACAGCACTAATGGAAGCTGAAACCTATGAAACTGAAACCTGTATTTATGCTTTTTGGTCAGTGTTTAGTGAGTGACTGAAGAAATTTACTCTCCTGATAGTCAGTTGTTGTGTTTGATGGAAAAGTGTAAAATTGTGCTGTGTGTTCAGTGTTTTGTGGAGGTTAGAAAAAAGCATTATTTTGGCCAGCAAACCTCTGTTTAGCATTGTACATCAACCGTTTTGAAAGTGTGGCCTCTAAATGGACAAAAGTACATAAGCAATGGAAAAAATCTGTAAGTACTGTAAGATGTTATTCATTTTTTAGATATTTATGAGGAGGTTATACAATATAATTCAATTGGATAAGGAAGGGAAATAAATAAAGAGAAATAAGTGAAAAACAGGAGTTTTTAAAACTAGACTTCAAAAAATGATTAAAAGATGTAGAGAAAATGGGACTCCTTACAACCGTGCAAGGCCCTGATAGGCCACCAAAACTGTTACCGTGAAATAAAAATCTTTGAGAAAGAGAAGAAAATCAAGTTCCACTGTTGCTTCGGTTCTGAAAAAATCCACAGGTATTTCTGTCCATCCTTGCGCTGTGAGAGGACACTCAACACTATGAGTCTGAAAGGATGTGTAGCTGTCAAGATTCCATTTGCAAATCAATTAAAGATGCTGCTGGTGTTCTCAGAACAACGGTGGTGGACTGATCACTCCAGTAATAAAGACAAAGCATGGACACACTAAATACTGAACAAATTCAAATTATATTTAGCTGTTGAGGCTTTTTTTACCTGATGCTGAAAAATGAATAATTTGTACTTAAATGCCACCTGCACTTAAGAAAGTGTTTTTTTACAGGACTAACTCCTCCTGGATAGCTTATTATGATCGTATAGACTGATACTTGTATTAGATGTGTTACCATAGTGCAGAGGTCACATTTTTCTATCGAAAACACAGGCTTTCGTAGTATATCTGAAAAAA